CATTTTTTATTAGCAGCACTCACACACGTGAAAAGCTATGAATAGAGAGTGTCCAACGATATTTTACCTCAAATCCTACTTGGCTACGAATGTAAGAAAGACTACATCTCACGGTGCATGATTCTACAACTTGACCCACTTTGGACAAGACGACTTATTATAAACCTAATGTTCTTCTTTAAGGTCCTACAAAAAATTTCTTGCTCAGACAGTAAGGACATACAATTCGCACAAGAAGGCTCTTACGATCTGCGTAACCAAAATTGCACAGTGACAATAAAAGCCTTTAAGTCAACACTCCGCGAAAACTTCTTCACAGTCATGTATTCTAAAATATGGAACAATCTGCCCCTAGATGTCAGGAACTGCAATACAGTTTTAAGTTTCAAACGCTCTCTGTACACACTATTTCACTCTACCGACTATATAAATAAACTATTTATTCCTAGAACGAATCAACTATTAGTCTACTACAGTACCTAAACGCGCTTAAATGCCCTTACTTCTCTAAAGACTATAAATAAACTAGTAGCATAAATGCATAAAAAGACATAGTAGAAACAAATTTTTGTTCATCAAATTACAATGTACAACGAATATAAACAAATATTTTAGACTCCACATACTTTTTCTTTGTCCTCTGGTACATTTCTGTTGTATTTACTTTGTAGTACTAGTTGCATTGATCTACATTCCGACTGAAGCTGAGAAACAATTGAAGTCACTTACTCATATATTAACCCTCAAGGTTTGGCTAGTAATGGCTCAGCATCCTTGATGAAATCCACTGTCACCATAACAAGACACTGTACAGCATCTTATGCAAGCACTGTCAATGATCTAAAACGGTTTTTATATGGCTTTCTACGTGTTTATCAACTTACTCGTACGGAGCAACCATGCTGTGACAAATGGCGGGCTATGGGTGACTTGAGTGCAGTAAAACAAATCTGCTTGACAATGACCAATATTAATCTGCATTCAGTTGAATTCACATCTGGTATTACTTGCAAAAAATGATGTCAAAATCATAAAAATTAATCACTCATTTTAAATTAATACACAATTTGAACATAAAACAAGATACGATGCCGCACACAACAAAGTTATATGGACGAATTGACTTCAAGCTTTATTTTTTTCCCAAATATTTGTAATTTATCCGACACATACTTGGGTTTTTTTTAATGCGAAGATAATATCTCTATATTTCTTTATGTGTGCCATTGAACGACTAACTATCAGAATGTGCTCATCAACTGATGTCAGAGAGGACAGCAACCATGTAATTTAATTATAAATCGAATTCATGTAATTTAAATAATACTTATCCATGCCTGTACAATTGGTGTGTCCCACATTGATAGGATATATATATATTAATTACCTATCCTGGTCTTCCCATGTCTTAGCGATTTCTGAAGGAATATTTCGTCTGAGGTTTTACATTAAGAAGTTAAGGCACTCAGGCATAACTCAATCAACCCCTCCACTTACAGTTTGTCAACTCGTGCATCTCACATATTCCTCTTTACTTTTCGCCCTTATTCTTTCCTGGTTTGCTTAAAAAAGATTATCTCATACTTCGTAGAACTCTGAAGACTGTCAGTAGGACAAGTGGTATCCTATTGGGCCATATCGTTGACATTGTCATTGATAGGCACTTGATGTCATGCAACGAATTCGCTAAAGGAATTTTGTCAGGCTGTGAGCATCCACTTTACCCTCAGCTCCAACCTTATGTCTCCTCAGGCAAAACAAGAAGTCTTTTCAGAAGACTTCATGCACGTACGTCCAAGTATAAAATTCCACTATACCATATCTGGCACGTACTTTCTGTGGTGAAAATAGTGTTAGGCATGAACTAACTAACCTTCTTTGCACTATTAAATAAACCATTTCCTCCACCCTTACAACATCAACCTTTATTGTTATTCTACTTCTTATATTTATATCCTCTGAATTTTCGCTTTTTATTTGTTCATTTTTTCATAAGTGTGAACATCATTTAAGCTGTGTTATAACCATTAGTTTTGTATTTCCCCTCACCACACTAGACCAACAGAACATAAAATTCAATAATCTATAACATGCTAAGATTTTCAAACTGAATCGACAATACTGTTTGAAACAAACTCACTGTTATTATTATTATTATCTTTAATATTCTCAATTCGTACTTCGAATAGTTTTGACTTTATTTCGTAAATGTGGACAAATTCCTCTGGTTAATTTTGTTTTAATTCTTAATTTTTATTTATATTTTGAGTAAATCAGATGCAATATTGTGACAAATCCTGAGAATTCCATTCCGTATAACAAGTACTGTTTTTGGAATAATGTAGATTATAAATATTATTATTCTTAGTAGTAGTAATAGCAAATATATTACGAAACCTGCATTGTCATGCAGAACAATAACTGGTCCTGTCTTCCTCAGTCAACGAAGCAGGTCATGTAAACTACCGATTTCTATTATACTGTCAGATTTATTTTGATGCGACTTACGCCTATTTATGATAACCCAAAATGAGTTGATGTTGCAGTGCGTCTTCATACTTTGGCTATCATTACATGAATGCAAAACAGAATATAGTGGTGGCGTTTTCACCTTCACCAATCCTCAGTTGTGTACTTCAGACAATGTATATTCATAGATTCTCTACTGACAAAATTGATTGCCTCACTGTCAAATGTAACTACATGTGCATGTAAAACATTTATATTCCTCTTGGGTGTAGCCACTCAGAACTAACTTGATTCCCTGATGATTTTGCTTTCTTGCTGCTACCTCCTTTGGAATCTCCTTGTCAATAGTTTCTGGCAACTTCAATTCTCGTGACGGAGGTTATCATTTTTGTAGCATTGCCGTTAATAAAACGAAAGGGAATACTCGATTGAAATAGCTTGGATCTTGTACCTCTGACTTCCAATTCCTATTAAATCTTGATAAGTATGTGACAAATCTGCCATCGGTTGAACTTTTATCACATGAAAAGCATGTGCTGTCATTTGGTTTCAATTGTTCTATCTCATTAAACAATATTTTAGACTTAGCAATTGATTCTCAGTTTGAAAATTTCTATGATCTATTGAGTTCTGTAGTTCCTACCTCGAAAGATGACCAAAGTTGGTTGGAAGTTAAATCTGTCAATGTAGCACACCGATTCCATAAAAATAATAATTTTATATTTTCATATAAACATAAATTTACATGAAAATGCATGCCATTTTTACAGGCACGATCAAGTATGATATAATGTCAAATAGTAGATTGTCTACAAGTTAGTGATGTTTGAACAGTTAAATATTTGATATATGTATAAATACACTCTTTGTCTGACCCATGTCGTATCATTATTGAGTTAAACTGCAGTCCTCCAGGTTGCGCGGGGAAATCGACTTCGTTTCGTTTTCAACCCGTGTTTGTAGGCATATGATAACCAACCAATACTGAGGTAAGTGCAACGTTTACAAGGGATAGTAAGCTGTTTTAGAAAAGGAAAGGTGCGAAGGTGAATCATTAAAGTGTAATTAAATAGTTATGTGCAGTGTATCAGTAATAGATGCATTCATAAAGGAAATACAATGGGAGATTATAATCCCTAGGCTGATAAAGTTCCTTTGCAATGTATAATGCTACCCATATAGGTCTTACTATCATGTTGTCCACTTTTGGTTTTAATACAATTATCCACAAGCCGGTTGTTTTTATTACATACTTTTCTGTGTAGTTGGTGCACAACCGTACCCTATAGAGAATAGGAATAAAATAAGTCGAATCAAATTCATAAAGAGCTATAATATGTTAGGTTTAGTGGAATATAATGAGCAAGTGAAGACGTTATTAAAAAAAGAATGAGATGAGACATTGTTAAGTGATATTCGAAGATACGACAAAGGAAAGCATTTTAATTTATAAGATGCCCCATAAATCTGTGCAGGGCCCACGTGGTCGCATCTCAGCAATAGGCTGAGCGAATGGTATATGTTTGAAGGTAGAAGGATGATCTGTCCAGGCGATCATTATTATCTTTTTCAAGATTCAAGCCCTCATAAAAATCTCGAGCCATCAAATTGCATATTGCTGTTCCTGTAGAATGTTGTGATTCACTTTAGTGTCCACCACCATATCTACTGATCAGCATGCGCCACCCTCCCTGCATAATTCAAGTCGGAAACAAATAAGCATTTTAACATCAACTCCAAAAAATCAACACCATTTTCTGAGGAAACCATCAAGTGACATCACTAGACAAGCCATTGCTCGAGTGGAACCCGAAAGGGAAGCGGAGAGTTGGTCGTCCAGCGGTGACTTGGAGGAGGTTATGTGAAGAGGAGATGTAAACGTGTGGGCAGACATGGAGCCAGGTGAAGGCTCTAGCAGAGATTCGAACGCAATGGAGACTTGTGGCTGAAGCCCTATGTTCCTCTAAGAATTAAAGGATACAATAATAATAATAAATAATAAAGGAATCACGTAACGGATCCGATTTAGTTATTCTGAAACCTGACAGAGGATCTGGTGTAGTTCTGATGGATAGAAGCAATTACAAAACGAAATTGTTCTCCATCCTTAATGACAAGAGCAAATTCATAGCTGATGTTCCTTCTGATGATATCGGAAAATTGGAAGGAAAAGTAACTTCTCACTTAGTAAAACTTCGTGGAATGGACGGTATCGATAAGCAAGAGTTCAATTCCTTGAAACCCATGCGATCTGACTTTCCTAACCTTTATGGATTGATTATCCAAGATTCATAAGCTCGATAATCCATTACGTCCAATTCTATCAATTTGTCACACTTCTACACATGAATTAGCGAAATGGTTAGCTGATGTTTTAATTCCAGTATGCAATGAATTATGTAAGTTCACTTTGAAAGATACATTTGAACTGGTGGACTGTCTTGTAGATATGAACACAAGAGATAGGGGTGAGGATATACGTTATCGCGTCCTAAATCTTCCGTGCTTAAGACGCTATAGTCAGTTTCAAGGTCATGATGGGTTCCTGCGTCTACTGGTTATATGGTTTCGTGAATTCGTTCTCCATTGAATTTTAAAGGTTTTTTGAACGTTTTGCTCGTTTTGGAGTATGTAGGACAGTTTTTCTCGGCTTTGATCTGGTAGAACAGTGGCGGCTATTTTGATATTTAATTTGTCCTAGGTAGGTGGTATCGTGTGAAAGTTTGTGTGGTTGCGGCATTCGTTGTTTGCAAGCATGTTTGATGAATATAAATGTAAAATTTCAGTATTCTAACTTTTCTTTTACTTATTTTGTGCATGTAAAAGGCTTGGTTTATCATACACTCGGTTTGTTGGCCAATCGGTTGATGGCGATGTCAAGGAACCGGTGAGTTCTTGGGCTTTTCTCGATTTTATGTTATACGTGTAGCATTTTATTGATGGATATTGCTCAGTGTTGTATTTCAATATTGCTTTTTCTACGGAATTATATTTAAACAGTTGCGAGACATGGATATTAATTGTCAAAGCCTTTTTAGTTTATTGCAGGTAGACAATGCAAGTGAAAACACTGCAGACGTCAGTGGAATTTTCGCTGAAGTAATGCTGGGAAGGCGTTTCTTTAGCTGGGAGGAATTCGAGAATTCATTAGGAGAATTTCAAAAAGTGAGGAAGTCGTTTAATGCTAACAATGTAGTTGTCCTGCACTCACTATGTGCGTATTCAAAGCAAAACAATAGGCGAAGACAGATTCAAGTACGCTCACGTTGCTTTTAAATGCACTTTTGGCGTGAACCGTACAAGAGCTGGCCCGAAATTGCGGAACAAGTCGTAAGAGGAAGTGTATTATGATATTTTGTATGTTTAAGGTCTAAATGTTGCAACTGTCCGTCTGCATTTCGCGTAATTTTGCATTTTAGTGAATACGTAATAACATCCCACAAAATGGTTCATAACCATCCATGCACCAGGGTGTATATGCGGAATGATCCATGGTGTAGACGACTAACAGCGGAAGAGAAAGAAAACCTGGAACCACTTCTTCACCAATCACACTCATCAGATGAAATAATGAAGTATGTTAAGGAAACATTCCACAAGGACATAACTCGTACTGACGTTAAAAATCTGAAAGCTTCAGTTAATAAAGGTAACGTTGATGTAATTGTAAATTACTTCAGGTATGTCGAGTCTTAATGACATTTGGAGAGGTGGTTACCGCAGATTACGCTGGAGGAGTAATCGCACAAATGGACCATTTTCTTAATGTGTAAATTAACTACTTTCGTACTACAATAAAAATAAACTTTTCCTATTAACCTTGTTGTCTTTCTGTTCGTGTGTTCGTGTTGGGAGTACGGCATGTTAGACCGGTGCTCCCTAGGATATGAATTCGTTACTGTGCGTCGGTAGCACAGTGGTTATGACTCCCGCCGACCATGCACATGGTCCGGGGTTCGATTACCTGCCGACGCACACTCGATATCTATGGTCGGCCTGTGGAATTTGGGCTACCGATATCCATGCTGAAAATTCCATACTTCTACCAAAAGTACTGTGTGGAATCAAGCTGTAAACAAAAATAATAAAATAATAAGTGCAATTCTGTAGGAACACTATCCATCGATATAAGTGGTGAATTATAAGTACTTCAGTCAAGTCTAAAAATCTGCCTAAAGTTACGCGATTACATCTCCTAGTCATAGGTAAATCTGTAGGGACCAATGACAAAAATACCTAACTTCAGTATTTGAGAAATAAGAATAGAACTTAGGTCCTGCAGTTGAGTTCGATTTCGTATGAGGTTAAGTGTAATCGAAAGTAGTGTATTACTATTATTTCACTTAAAGCGTGATGTCAATCCATATGACTACGGGTGTTACCATATAGTGTAAAATGAAGTCTACACGAGACGAATAATTTAATAGGTTGAACTGTAGCAATATTAGTAAGATTCCTCTTACGTTGAATTATGCCTACAATTACTTTCTCAGGTGTCATTGATAGGTCAGGCCTCCATCTCGTCATAATGAAAAATTTAGTTCCACTGAGATAGAATAAGAAAAGTATGGTAAGCAGGACGTTAAATATATTTAATGAAAAATAATAAGCGAATGTCTTTACACAATTGTTTTTCATAATTACTTCGGGGATGCGTAATTGCTGTGACCAGGTTGACGTAAATGTAAAAGTTAAATGCTCCATATTTTCCTACCTTTGCTGAAAAAGGTTTATTCTCCTTTCTCATTCTTTGGTCATGACAGCATTCTTCTGCGGTTTTCACTGTCACACACATTGTTCCTCTTCTAAAGTATAGCACCAAGCAAATAATAATTTAATATGTCGTATAAACGGGTGTTTACAAGGAATGCATGACATCTCTACAGGCGCAATAAGTTATGTTATAAATTGCAATCGTGAAGAATCGTAAATTAATACTTTTTCAAAAGTTTAGATTGTTCAATTATTGTACAAGCAATTACAACGGATTATCATAAAAGTTAAACTGTAAACCCTTCACAATGAACACTGCATATATTTGGGTAAGTGCTATTCCCCCACATAATTAAAAGGTATTTCAGGAGGAGAACAGCATCCTGAGAAACTGCAGTAATATTTTCTAGCTGTTCGGAATTTTTTCCTTTGATGCAGTCTCTTATCAACAGTTTGCAGTATTCATAGTGACTTTAGAGGAAGCTTTATTCTATTTTCACTTTCACCAACTGTCCCTTCAAGTATAATAGCATACAGTAACTATATACATTTCAGCATTATAACCTGAACATCACAAAATCCCCACAGATAACTTGTTTAATAATAAATGCTTTACAGACATGAGCCATAAGTGCACCTTCCATATCATTCATAGTCACAAGTAATTCATCAAGGATCTCAGAATATGTTAGTGATCGGAAAATGAAAAATTATTAAGACTGATATAATTTAAGTAACACGTTTAGTAGTTGTAGGACACAGCTGCTAGCTACTATTCCACAGAAAGCTGATTCTAATTTGAAGCAGTCTGATATTTTAGAAGGACCATCTATACTATTCTTTTTGCCCAATTGCACAATGCTATTAACATAATCTGATGCAATGTAATGCACTCAGCAATTATGGTCTCCCGACATTCCATGTGACAATGTAAATGAAGCTAGTATTACATCTTCACCTGAGCGATTTTAACTAGGAACTTCATCGAAATGGATATAATCAACAGGAAATCCAGCAGATTGTCTCATTCATCGCATGCTCTCTTCGATGTGTTATGGAATATTTCAATCATCACGGATAATGATAAAAAAGTGTTTGGCATCCTCAAAACGTACATTTAACTTGTGTCTGTGGGCTAGTTCTCCTTCAAATGTCTCGTTATCATAGAATAACTGCTATGAAAACGACCATTGCCTATAGTTAATTTTCAACCTTAATATCCTCAAAAACTAGCAAATAATAGACCATTATGGCTCTAAAACGCGAAGAATAGTCTTTCTATGCTAAATTTCTTATATAAGATGAGTTATTTGAAGTAATATATCCTCTGGGATTTCATGAGAGTTTTACCCATCAATAAGAAAGCAATAGTGGAAAATATTGTTTTTTTCGGCTACAGAAGGCTGAAAGCAGTCAAATATAATCCATTTTCACAAAAATAAACGCTTATAACGCCTCTATAGGCGTGAAAGCGATAACCCATGGAGTGCGCGAAAATATATAACGATAAAGATTATCCTCATCCGAGATAGGAAAATGTATTCATTTGAAGTTAATTCTTTGTTTACTCGTGTACCATTGATTAAGGCTGTTGATATTCTCTGTGACCATATATATCTTCGAGTTGCTTTTCATTCTCTTTTCCTTTAACTTGTTTGAAAGATTTATTACTATTATGTACTGACAACGTCCATTTCACGTTTGAAGGTGAGCACTTTCGACAAGTGGTTGGTGTTGCTATGGGGAGTCCGTTAGGACCTGTGTTAGCGAACGTTTACATGTTTTATGTTGAGGACTTGTTCTTTGATTTTATTTCTAAATTGCCCTTCTATAGGAGATATGTAGATGATATCATTTTGATATGTGACGATCATGAAGATGCGAGTCGTCTGTTAGACAGACTTAACTCTGTACAGAATCACATAAGTCTTACATGCGAGGAAGAAAGTCGCTACCAGCTTGCATTTTTTGACATACTTCTGAGTCGAAGAGATGATGGTTCAATCAGACGATCAATTTACAGAAAGCCCACTTGGACAGGGCGATACCTCAATTTTCACAGTTTCTGTCCATCACAGTATAAGAGAGGTCTGGTGAAATGTCTGTTTAAGAGGATTCGACGTATTTGCACGGCTGATGCTTTAGACAAAGACAATGAAATCCTGAAGGAAACGGACATCCTTTGAAATTTGTTAACAGGTGTAGAAGTCACTCAGTCTTCAAACATACAATCCACATCGCACCTAAGAAAAATGCTTTCATCAAATTACCACATCACGGGGAAATAAAGAGTAGGATTTTGAGACAAGGGTTGAATTCGGTCATCCGTAGGACCTATTATGCAGCCCGGCTTGTAATTATCGAAAAAGCCAAAAGTACGCTTCACTGCAAACCTCGGAATTGCACAAGTTTAATTGTGTCGCATCCCACACTATTCACCAATATTCGTGTGTGTGTGTGTGTTGACACACATACACATAGAGTACGTGCATGATTTGAGTGAAATGAAGTCTCATCTTGTAGGATTGAGGAGACTTCGGTGAAACATCAAGGCGTTGCTTGGTTCAGGATTCAGTGTTCTGGAAACTGCTGCTCTAAACAGAAAGTAAACAGGTGTGGTATGCAGTCGATTCTAAGTACCGATGTTCGTTCTGACAGGACAGTGTGTAGCGAGGAGATGTATCACTTTGGATAGTGAGACGATTTCTCCAGTTGTGAAATTTCAGTGAAATAGCATACCTTCAGTTTTACGATGCACGAATCAGTGGGAATGAAGGACTAGCCTTTGTACATTAGGTGGAAGAGATCTTCAGATGTTAGGATTATGCTGATGACGGTGACGTCAATGACTTTTGAGACAGTGGCCACAGTGAAGTGAGCAGTGAGAGAGACTGGCCTGGCTTGCATCAGTTGTCTTGCAAAATGAAGGACTATTTCCCAGTTGATTGTTGTTGTCAGTCGAATTGGGAATGTTTTGTCGAGGTAACGTCTCAGATGATATATGAGTGTGACTTGTTGTCCACTGATTGCCCTTCGTTCCTTGTCATTGGTAATATGACACTAGTAAGGCACAGTAAAGTGATGAGTAGTTTGATTATCGTGTATTCTGCAACGTTGTGTACGTAGAGTAACTTTTGTTTGTTTGTTTGTTTGTTATTCACTATTCTGCAGGATGACGATGAGAAGCAGGACGAGAATGTTCTCCCTGATGGTACATGCAGCACCGAAGTGGCAGCCAACTCAGAGCAAGAATTCCGGTTTATTGCACCTGATTCCACTTTGGGAAAAGATGGTGACTTTCAGTTTTGATAGATATTGCGTTGCTATTACTAACTACGCATCTACCTATTAATTCCTATGTAGATAGATAATTGACGATATTAACCTTCAGATTGAGAAGTGACAGTTTTGCAATGCTTTTATTTCTGAAATGATTTTGTATATAGAATAATAAATATTTTTGTTACTGATGTGTTCGTGTGTTTAAACCGGAATAAGGCGTTGGGTGGCTGACTGACTGAATAACCTGAGTGTGTCCCTATGTGGGCTGTTGCTATCTCGCCTGTCTCTTCTACCTCGTATTTACTTTCCGTCTGTGAATCTTTGTTTGTGCGACATTCGACGTAAATCGTGCGTGAATTCAAGATCGAGATTCCTCTCAGTAGTCAGAAATGTGGCACATCTTATCCCTCTTTCCGTTCAGGGGTTTCGTCGTTGATAGTAGGCAGTCTTGTTTCACTCCTGTCTTCACTTCAGAGGCTCTGCTAAGTTTTCCTTTGTGAATCCCTGGACATATGGAATCGTATAGTTTAGTTGGGTTAATGAATGCTTCGGTCACGGTGTACTATTGAGGCACATTTCCAGTTATTTAGAGGTTGACGTTCTCGAAGATCTCTTCAGTGTCAGTGAAGCTGATACCAAGAATATATGAGCGACGATTAGTGTTGCAGCCAAGTCCGCCTGTCACCTTTTCCTTGAATCCAGCCTGATCTAGCTAAAGCCGTCCATCCAGAACATCAAGGAAAATGCGGCTTATGATTTTGTTTGGAGTAGAGAAGAGCATCAGTCTGATGCATTTCTTTCCAAGGCCTAAGTATCC